CTGTGTAGCCCCAGCAGTGCCACCTGTCAGTGCCCATCAGTGCCACATATCAGTGCCCATCTGAGCTGTCTTTCAGTGTTACCCATCAGTGCCAGTCAGTGCCACCTATCAGTACCGCCTATCAGTGCTGCCAATCAGTGCCGCCTATCAGTGCCAGTCAGTGCCGCCTATCAGTGCCAGTCAGTGCCGCCTATCAGTGCTGCCTAACAGTGCCAGTCAGTGCCGCCTATCAGTGCCGCCTTTCAGTGCCCATCAGTGATGCCTGTCAATGCCCATCAGTGCCACCTACCAGTGCCTCATCAGTGCCCATCAGTGCCACCTATCAGTGTCCATCACTGCAGTCTCATTAGCACACATCAGTGAAGGAGAAAAATCACTTATTTACAAAATTGTATAACAAAAACTAAGAAAAAAACATTTTTTTTTTCAAAACATTTTCAGTAGTTTTTGGTTTAAGAAAAAATAAAAAACCCCAGAGGTGATTAAATACCACCAAAATAAAGCTCTGTCACAAAAAAAATGATAAAAAATTTCATATGGGTACAGTGTTGCATGACCGCGCAATTGTCATTCAAAGTGTGACAGTGCTGAAAGCTGGAAATTGGCCTGAGCAGGAAGGGGGTATAAGTGCCCTGTAGGCTAGTGGTTAAATAACAAACATGTCCTACTTACCTGCTCTGTGCAATGGTTTTGCACAGAGCAGCCCCAATCCTCCTCTTCTTGGATCCCCTGCCGGCACGCTGGACTCCTCCACCCCTGCGGATTGCCCTCACAGCAAGCCACTTGAAATGGGGGCACTCATGCGGGCTTGCTCCCAATCCATGCTCTGTGTATCAATTAACTGTGACTGACAACAGCAGGAGCCAATGACTCCTGCTGCTGCCTTTCTGTCCAGTAAAAAGAGAGAGAGCCGAGAAAGTCGCTTGATTGAAATTATGTTAGGTAAGTGTTAGGAGTGGAGAGTTGCACACTGAAAATTTTTTGCAAAATGCATTAACATAAACAACCTTTTACCTTTAGAACCACTTTACTGAGCAAAAATAACAGCAAAAATCTCACTAATTGTGGCTTGTATATATCCGATTTGTCACTCTTAAATAAGATAAAATCCTCATCCTTATAGCTGTCTATACACTAGTAGAATTTTATTTAAAAAATTTTGTTTTAAAAATGTTTTTTCAATTTCTTAATAGTTAGTGGAGTCAAATGGATGTGCACGGTTTTCATTTGGTATATTTCATTCATTTCAAAATCGAATGCTAAATGCAAACAGAATTTAAAACTAATTTCGAACGAATTTTGTCAAACTGTCAAATTTACTGAGAATTTTTTATACAAATGTTTCTATAAATTTGTGTACGAATTTTCACTTGAAAATCCACTAGTGTTTAGCCAGCTTTAGGGTGTTGTGTTAGCCTTCCTGATTCCTTGCTATCCATTTGTAAAGTAGAGCTGACCTATTGACATCTTTTGGTACCTAACAGGAATGACTGCCATGGTGATTTCAATAGTCTGTCGAAGATGTATGGGAACAATATTTGACAATATACTGGAAGTAATCATAAAAAGGTAAAGAACCCCTGACTTAAAGAATCATGTCATTCAAGTTCATGACACAAAATCAGAATGAATCCACACATTGTTGTACACTGTTCTATGTCAAAAAAAGCTGGGACTATTTAACAGGCATCTCTCTGCATTCTTATTGCTAGGACATTCAAACAAATGGGGACTCCAACAATTTTTGAAATAGGAAAAAAAGAGAAAACCTCTGGTCTAAGTAATATCCAGGAGTAGTTCTGTCACACCTGGATAAGGATCTGCAGTATCATTATGTAGCATAATGATTTGTTATTAATTATTGTGTACACAGAATACTTTTTACAAGCATGGCTGAGTCATCCTCGTGCCATTAAACATCTAGCCTGAGCTCAGTCAAGACGATTTCCACAGTCTGGCCGTGTGAATAGGTCGAACATGTTCACACTGGAATATCACTTCCCTCATACTTGGCAGAATGCGGATGTTACTAGTTTGATATCTCAGTGTATTAGGAATGTGAATATTTAATCAAGCAATTACGCGAACTTATCATTGGTGTCACAATGCCTGGCACATGGAAGGCTGGTACGAGCCACATGGCACAAGGTCTTGTGAAACTAATCTGCATGCAAAAAAGCAATATGCAATGAGAACATTTTTTTTAACAGAAATATAATTTTTTTATCTGTGATACATTAAAATGCTGGGAAGGAGCAATCAATAAAGTAATTTAATGTCAGGAGATCCCGATAGACAACAAATTGCTGACCCATCCCTGAGTGGGCTGCAGAACGTTCAAAAAGCAATGTTCTGATGGTTTACCTGGTGTAATGGATATTCTTATAGCACACAGTTCAGTTGCTGACTGCATTGTTTGATAGAGCAAATAAGCTGTATGTCTGAAAATTATAACAGGGCCATGAGTGAAATGCCAAACATCAATAACTACCGTATTTTTCGCTCCATAAGAAGCACCTGACCATAAGACGCGCCTAGGTCTTAGAGGAGAAAAACAAGAAAAAAATATTCTGAACCAATGGACTGCAGACATAGTACAGGAAGTGACCAGACACTGCGGACACAGTACAGGAGATGACCAGAGACTGCGGACATAGTACAGGAGATGACCAGAGACTGCGGACATAGTACAGGAGATGACCAGAGACTGCAGACAGTACAAGAGATGACCAAAGACTGCGGACACAGTACAGGAGAAGGACCAGAGACTGCGGACACAGTACAGGAGATGACCAGAGACTGCGGACACAGTACAGGAGATGACCAGAGACTGCGCGGACACAGTACAGGAAGTGACCAGACACTGCGGACACAGTACAGGAGATGACCAGAGACTGCGGACATAGTACAGGAGATGACCAGAGACTGCAGACAGTACAAGAGATGACTAAAGACTGCGGACACAGTACAGGAGAAGGACCAGAGACTGCGGACACAGTACAGGAGATGACCAGAGACTGCGGACACAGTACAGGAGATGACCAGAGACTGCGGACACAGTACAGGAGATGTCCAGAGACTGCAGACACAGTACAGGAGAAGGACCAGAGACTGCGGACACAGTACAGGAGATGTCCAGAGACTGCAGACACAGTACAGGAGAAGGACCAGAGACTGCGGACACAGTACAGGAGATGACCAGAGACTGCGGACACAGTACAGGAGATGACCAGAGACTGCGGACACAGTACAGGAGATGACCAGAGACTGCGGACACAGTACAGGAAGTGACCAGACACTGCGGACACAGTACAGGAGATGACCAGAGACTGCGGACATAGTACAAGAGATGACCAGAGACTGCAGACAGTACAAGAGATGACCAAAGACTGCGGACACAGTACAGGAGAAGGACCAGAGACTGCGGACACAGTACAGGAGATGACCAGAGACTGCGGACACAGTACAGGAGATGACCAGAGACTGCGGACACAGTACAGGAGATGACCAGAGACTGCGGACACAGTACAGGAGATGTCCAGAGACTGCAGACACAGTACAGGAGAAGGACCAGAGACTGCAGACACAGTACAGGAGAAGGACCAGAGACTGCGGACACAGTACAGGAGATGGACGAGAGACCGAGGACACAGTACAGGAGATGACCAGAGACTGCGGACACAGTACAGGAGATGACCAGAGACTGCGGACACAGTACAGGAGATGGACAGAGACTGCGGACACAGTACAGGAGATGACCAAAGACTGCGGACACAGTACAGGAGATGACCAGAGACTGCGGACATACTACAGGAGATGACCAGAGACTGCGGACATACTACAGGAGATGACCAGAGACTGCGGACACAGTACAGGAGATGACCTGAGACTGCAGACAATACAGGGGATGACCAGAGACTGCGGACAGTATAGGGGATGACCATAGACTGCGGACAGTATAGGGGATGACCAGAGACTGCGGACAGTATAGGGGATGACCAGAGACTGCGGACAGTATAGGGGATGACCAGAGACTGCGGACACAGTACAGGAGATGACCAGAGACTGCGGACACAGTACAGGAGATGACCAGAGACTGCGGACACAGTACAGGAGATGACCAGAGACTGCGGACACAGTACAGGAAGTGACCAGACACTGCGGACACAGTACAGGAGATGACCAGAGACTGCGGACATAGTACAAGAGATGACCAGAGACTGCAGACAGTACAAGAGATGACCAAAGACTGCGGACACAGTACAGGAGAAGGACCAGAGACTGCGGACACAGTACAGGAGATGACCAGAGACTGCGGACACAGTACAGGAGATGACCAGAGACTGCGGACACAGTACAGGAGATGACCAGAGACTGCGGACACAGTACAGGAGATGTCCAGAGACTGCAGACACAGTACAGGAGAAGGACCAGAGACTGCAGACACAGTACAGGAGAAGGACCAGAGACTGCGGACACAGTACAGGAGATGGACGAGAGACCGAGGACACAGTACAGGAGATGACCAGAGACTGCGGACACAGTACAGGAGATGACCAGAGACTGCGGACACAGTACAGGAGATGACCAGAGACTGCGGACACAGTACAGGAAGTGACCAGACACTGCGGACACAGTACAGGAGATGACCAGAGACTGCGGACATAGTACAAGAGATGACCAGAGACTGCAGACAGTACAAGAGATGACCAAAGACTGCGGACACAGTACAGGAGAAGGACCAGAGACTGCGGACACAGTACAGGAGATGACCAGAGACTGCGGACACAGTACAGGAGATGACCAGAGACTGCGGACACAGTACAGGAGATGACCAGAGACTGCGGACACAGTACAGGAGATGTCCAGAGACTGCAGACACAGTACAGGAGAAGGACCAGAGACTGCAGACACAGTACAGGAGAAGGACCAGAGACTGCGGACACAGTACAGGAGATGGACGAGAGACCGAGGACACAGTACAGGAGATGACCAGAGACTGCGGACACAGTACAGGAGATGACCAGAGACTGCGGACACAGTACAGGAGATGGACAGAGACTGCGGACACAGTACAGGAGATGACCAAAGACTGCGGACACAGTACAGGAGATGACCAGAGACTGCGGACATACTACAGGAGATGACCAGAGACTGCGGACATACTACAGGAGATGACCAGAGACTGCGGACACAGTACAGGAGATGACCTGAGACTGCAGACAATACAGGGGATGACCAGAGACTGCGGACAGTATAGGGGATGACCATAGACTGCGGACAGTATAGGGGATGACCAGAGACTGCGGACAGTATAGGGGATGACCAGAGACTGCGGACAGTATAGGGGATGACCAGAGACTGCGGACAGTATAGGGGATGACCAGAGACTGCGGACAGTATAGGGGATGACCAGAGACTGCGGACAGTATAGGGGATGACCAGAGACTGCGGACAGTATCGGGGATGACCAGAGACTGCGGACAGTATCGGGGATGACCAGAGACTGCGGACAGTATAGGGGATGAACAGAGACTGCAGACAGTACAGGGGATGACCAGAGACTGCGGACAGTACAGGGGATGACCAGAGACTGCGGACAGTACAGGGGATGACCAGAGATTGCGGACAGTATCGGGGATGAACAGAGACTGCGGACAGAACAGATGATGACCAGAGACTGCAGACAGTACTGGGCATGACCAGACACTGCGGACCTTTAGGGAGGGAGGGGGAGCAGGTACCTGAATTTGACAGGTACCTGCTCCCACTTCTGTGGAGTTCTCCTTCCTATACTGTGGGCACCCGACTTTGACAGCCATGGAATCTACCATGGAATCCTCATCAGTCAAACCATCATTGGGTGCTTAAGGGATTAAAGGGATAAAGTGGAAGTATATAAGGATAAAAAAGAATATAGTGATTTAATGAAGACTTTGCATGAGCAATTAAATAAAGATTTTGAAATTAAAAAGAAAAAAAAAAAAACATAAAAAGTTTATTAGAGATATGGGAGATTATCAATGTAAGAAAATTTACAAATGGCAAGATAATGTAATGGGGAATTGTGGTTCTACGGAATCATCTCCTCCCACTTCATCAGTGAGGGGGAAAGAAGGAAGTAAGAATTTTCCGCCACCTAGTGGAATCTCTAAGAAAGGTCCCCCAATACATAATCTCAAACAGAAAGAATTTAGACCCCCTTATAGGAATAATGGGAGAGGTTATAAATCTGGGAGCCCTTATAGACCAGGATATAATGTCCCAGTATTCAACAGGTTCCAACCCTTTGAAAAGTGGAATGGGGATTATAGCAGCCCTAGTGGCAATAGAAATATGGGAAATTTTCAAGGGGACTACAGAGGTCACCCCCCATGGAGACCTCCTCCACAGAGAACATTTCATCAACCCTGTTGGGGGAAGGGAGGACCAAGGCATCCACCAAACAATTACAGAGAAAATTGGGAGAGGAATGCCCCACAGAGGGGGGAGGAAGGGGAGAGACCCCCAAATGGAAATACAGGAAATCTAGAACAAGTGAGGGGGAGCAAAAACAAAAGAAAGAGGAAAGAAACATAGGAGAAGGGATTTATAACCTTAGCTCCCTTCCATTGACAGATAGTGAAATGAAAGTTTTGGATAATGGTTTAAAGTTTGCTCCCAAGGCCAATTTGAATAAATTTGAAACTTATATTGAATAAATACATTAGGAAATTGAATATAAAAAAATATTTTGCGTCATTACCAGGCCCGTCCTTGTCTGCGAATCACAATAGTAATTTAAATTTTGCCCATAGTGATTTAGGAATAAATCTACATTTAATCCTGTGAATTCGAAAAAATCAAAAAACTTAGAAGTTTTTAAACAGATGGTTGTGGATGACTTATATGGATTGAACTATCGTAAGTTCAGAGAGGAAAAGATATTCCATCAGGGCCTATTATCATTAAAGAATAATAAAAATATTGTGATCAGACTGGCTGACAAGGGTGGGTTGGGGGGTGGTTATCATGGATAGAAGCAGTTATGAGGAAGAAGAAATGAATCTAATTTTAAGTGATAAAGAAACCTATAAGAAAATAAGGAAAAATCCTATTAATATATATATATAAAAAGCAGCTGTATAAAATAGTAAATAAAGCTAAAGAAGATAGAATCCTGAGTGAAAAAGAAGCGAAATATCTCATTCCCATGTATTGTAAAACACCATTTATTTATATATTACCGAAAATACATAAGAGCCTTACGAATCCCCCGGGGAGACCAATTACAAACAGTATTGATTCCATTCATTCGAGGATTGGACAGTATGTTGATTTGTTCTTGCAGCCGGTAGTAAAATATATGCCTTTATATTTAAAAGATAGCCAGGATGTGATTAACTTGTTAGAGGGGATGGAGGTATCTGAAGAAACCCTTTTGGTCACAATTGATGTTGATGTCACAATTGATGTCACAATTGATGTTAATTCGTTATATACAAGCATTATACGGATTTACATATTAAGCAAAGAAAATTGATTATACAGCTAGTAGAATTCAGTATGAGAAGGAACTATTTTTGGTACCAAGGGGAATTTTATGAACAAATAAAGGGCGTAGCTATGGGCACAAAATATGCGCCCAGCTTGGCTAACATATTTCTAGCGAGATGGGAGGAGAAAGAAATTTATGGAAGACGTTGGGAGGGACTAAAGGTCTGGAAAAGATTTATAGATGACATTTTGGTGGTGTGGGATGGAACAGCTGAAGATCTTAATTTATTTTTGGAACATATTGGGAAGAATGAGTTTGGTTTGGGATTTACACATAATATTAGTAAAGGATCGGCTAATTTTTTAGATTTGAATATTTTTAAATCTAATAATAAATTATATTTTAAAACCTTTTTTAAAGAGACCGATAGGAATGGGTATATCCCTACCAATAGTTGCCATCACCCACAATGGATTGAAGGAATACTGAAAGGGCAGTTTGTAAGGATTATGTGGAACTGTTCTAGATTAGAAAATTATATTGTACAATCGGAAGTTATCAAAGAAAGGTTTATCCAAAAAGGGTATGACCCTAATAAATTGGAAAAAACAGGTATAAAATGAGTCAAAACTATTTGGGTGAAGGAAAAATTGAAAAGAAAAATAAGGCGGAAGAAAAAACTAATAAAGTTGATTATGCTTTTATTTCTCGTTTTAACTGCCAATATAAAGATGTAGAGAATATTTTTAATAAATATTGGCCGACTTTAAGAAAAGATGGGATATTAGGATCTGTTCTCCCGAAGAAAGCGCCATTTATATATAGGAAAAATTTTAATTTAAGGAATAATTTGGTGAAAGGGATCATCTCACCCCCCAATCAGAAAAGTAAGAGGATGTTTAATTTAAAAGGATTTTTTTACCTGTAGGAAATGTAAAGTATGTAAAACCACGAATGTAACAATTACGAAAATTTTGGACTTTGAATCACATACTACTGGAGAAAAATATGAAGTGGAAAAATTTATAACATGTAGTACGAAATATGTAACCTACCTTTTAGAATGTCCATGCAAACTCCAATATGTGGGTAAGACTAAAAGACCCCTTTGTGAAAGATTGAAAGAACATATAGCAAATATTATAAAAGGCAAAAAGAATCATAGTGTATCTAGACACGTCAAAGAATTTCACAAATCAAATCCTAGTGGATTAAAGTTTTGTGGGATCGATACAGTGAAGGCTCATTGGAGGGGTGGAAATAGAATACAGAAGCTATCGCGGAATGAGACTTTCTGGATTTATCAGCTGCGTACTTTAAAACCAAAAGGTCTAAATATTGAATTAGATTTGAACTGCTTCATCTCAGACTTATAGAAGGGAAATATAAAATATAAAAGTTTTAAATTAAATTTTTAATTTTAACAATATTTTATTTTAAATAATACATTTTAAATTTGGAAATGGTTTAATAATTATTTTAGAGCTAGATTATTTAGAGTTTTATGTATTATGGGATTTGTCAGGGTATTAAATGTAATATATTAATTAATCATATGATAAGAAGATAAAAGTATTATATATTGCAGATTTAAATGATTTATCATATAAATTTTGAACCAGTAGAGGGCGCTGGGATTCATTATTACTGATTAGGGGGATTTATTTATTTATGTGATCGGTTGTTAAAGAATATCATTGTATAATTGTAATGAATTTATTATTAGATGGTTTGGCGATAGGATAGGGTTAGTGTAATTGAGATATATTTTTAGATTATATACAGGTTTAATTGTTCTCTTAAGGGTAGGATGTTTTATATGTTTATATATTCTGTTGTGATTATTGAGTGTTTTTTTATATATATTGGTAAGATTACTCAGTGTTTTATAGTTTCTGTCATGGTAATCCAGTTTATTTGCTCAAGCGGGACCTGTAATAAGAATATTGGCGCGAGATGCCCTTATTTAAGATGGCGGTTTACTTCTCCTGCCAGTAATTAAGAACAGGATAAGAGGAACCACATTCTAGACATCAGGTTCCCTTAAGAAGAAGTCGGAAGTGACGAAACGCATCAGATCGTGACATCAGACGCAATACCGGAAGGAGCGGCGCAGCCATCATGGTTTTGGAATTTGGCTGTGTGAATTACTGGAAGGATGGACGGTTCCTATGCCTGATGTAAGATGGAAATAAAATATACGTGTTACCCTTATATACTCCACTGAATTTGTCCTTTCTGCCTTATGAGGAGCGGGGGAAATTGAAGTGGATACATCCGCAGGGAGGAAGTAGTAACTACCCTGGAGTGCTTGTATTGCTAGTTTTAACAGAGAGAGGGTAATTGTATGAAATCCTACTAAAGTGTGGAACCACTTAATTGAGCACATTATCACGGATTGTGTAATTGCTGTGGATTTGTTTTCACGAGTGAAGAGTCACAGATTGTTTATTTACAAATTGGAGTATTTAGTATGTTTATTTAGTGTCACAGAGTGCTGTGTATTTTGATTCACTTTATAGAAGTGCATATACACATAAATTTAAAAGTTTTTTTTTTTTTGTTTTTTTCTTTCTTTCACGAGTGGTGTGCATGTACTCAATATGTTTGTTTCTGAATAAGGGTAATGCACTATATGCAGTTTTTCTCATTTTTTTTTGAGGTATCCGGGATTTTCTCATGATTTGGAAGATTGAAAAACAGTAGTTGTGGAAACTTTGGACTATATTTGTTGTGGACATTTTGCACTTATTTGGGTTATTTTTTACAGGAAGATTTATATTGTATACAGGTTTTGTAGAAAAGGTTTTATATATATTTTGCACTTTCAAGGGTGAAAGTTTAACTTTTCATAGGGGGGATAACAGTCAGAGTGTTATTTTTACTATCTTTGTGGAGCGGGTACCCAAATTTGACAGGTACCCGCTCCCACTTCCGCTGCGATCGCCTAGGCAATCGGAAGCGGTGGTTGTCCTCCCACCTCCCTCCCCGTAGTCTTCTGGGACACGTGACAGGTACTCGAAGACTACGGGGCCATCCACAAAGCGCAGCGCTTCTCGCGCCTCACAGTGAGCACTCGACTGTGAAGCCTCAAGCTGTCACAGCCGGGTGCCCACACTGAAGATGCCGGCACCAGGGAGAGAAGACTGCCAGT